GGGTGACATGGTTTAGTGTGAGGTGTCCCTGCCCATGGCAACGGGGGTGAAACTAGGTGATCTTAAGGTCCTTTCCAACCCAAACCACTCTATGACTCTGTGATTCTAAATGGCATCAGATGTTTGATGGGTTTCTCTAGCGACCTCATGTGACCTCACTTGAGATGCAACTAGTGTCACCAGAGACTTCTAAATACCTGAAGGGGAAGAAGCAACCAGAAAGTCTGGGAAATGCTTAGAGTGGAACAAACACTATTTAAAAAAAAAAATAAATAAACAACCATAAACCAGAAAATCACTAATCTTTCCTTAATTATTTTGTGGATTTGTTTTTTATGAGCTTTTGTTTGCCCTCTGCAAATATTTGAATAATCAAGTTTCAGAGACGTTAATGTTCCCAGCAAACATATTACAGCTGTTGAATTATAAAACTGTGATTTTTTCAAACTCCAGACTAAATCGATACAAAAAAAAATACATACTCATGGAGAGATTTTACTTAAGGCACTGTGGGGAGTTCACAGCTCAAAAATTATCACAGGGAGAGAGTCATGGGTGGCATATATTTGGTCTTTAAATAGACAAATCCTTGGTTGTATTGACTTCCAGAATTCAGATATTATGTGAAAAATTAGTGGAAAATACTTCTCCTGTGCAAACAACATAAAAATATTCACAAAGTCACCAACCCCTTCTTTGTAGCACAAAGGAAAAGAAAGTGAGAGGCCTCAGCTCCCTTCACCGCAGTGCTAGGGTTACTGTAAACTTCAGGGGAGCTGGGTCAGCATGGTAAATCAGGAGAGTCTCCTCCCACCTCCAAAAGAGAAGTAGTTGGAAATACTCAACATAAATCAGAGGATGCAGGATCTCTCCCCAGGTGAACATCATTACCCCCAGAGGTAACAGACCTTGTGCCCCCCCCCCCCAGCTTTCCAGTTTTTTTAGCTCCATTCATTACATAGTAAGTGCTATACAAAAAAAAAAACAAAACCAAAAAAAGGTCATGCAAGTAATTACTGGTATGTGTATAAGTCATAGCACCTTTAGTCAATCATTCCAGCCCTCCTACATACTTTTACAGATTTGGATTAGCAGGAGAGGGGGAGAGAGTATCTTTACAAGCAGCAGAAACTAATACATCCCAGAAGAGGCCAATGCAGGAGCACAGCAGTTTCCTTCCAACATCAAGGAGGAGCAAGGTTAGGACAGAAACTGAGTAAATAGACTGTCACGCTGCTCAGTGCCACACACACTGGATTTGCTTGTACAGGAAAAAACGTGAGTGATGGGAAACGTCAAAAGCATTGTAGGAATGATTCCTTTCAGCACTCAGGAGCTGTGACGGTAATCTCGGAACATGTCCAGACTTATTTATACCAACAGTTTAAAGCGAAAAATAAGAAGTCTCCTCCCTTCCCTAGATTTACCCCAAAAAGCTGAACTAAGCCCAAAGTCTTCTCTGCTGTTCAGAGGACCAGGCTCAGTTCAGGTTTTAGGACACCAGGTTGTGTGTGTGGACACCAGGTTGTGTGTGCTCATGAACAGCCCATCGAGTCAAATGTGGGGGGAACTGCGTGTGCTGATGCTCCCACAATGCATGCAGAGATGGGGACACGGCAAAGCCAAACGCACGACAGCCAGAAAGTAATGCCAGCAACCACCCAAACCCAAGGAGATGGAGGGGCTGGGTGAGGGAATGGATGTGCCATGAGGGAGGGGGGAAACAGACAGATTTTGGCTCTCAGTTATCACGCACAATGAATTATAAAAGCTATTTTTTAACATGATGCTCATGTCTGCAGGTCATCTCTACAGCAAATATGTTTGAGGCATTAATCCCACACAGGCAGACTGATGCAGCTTTCAAGCTGAGTAAGCGTTTAATCCTGTAAAGGAAAGGGTGGGGGAAAGTATTTCTTTCAGATAAATTGCTTAACTGGGAAGTGAGAAACTCTCCTGCCTAAGCAACTGATTGAAAAGTTTATTTCAATATGTAAACCTGATATTCTTCGATAACATCCTGGGAAAACTAAGCCAAAAAAGAGACACTCGCCTTTATATTGCTGAAACCACAACTTTAAATACATAAAAAAGGCTAATAAACAGATATGATTTAAATAAGGTTTCTTTGTGCCTCAGCTGTTGCACTGAATAGTGATCTAGCACCAGGCACACCAAGCTGCCAGATCACTGACTGAACATTTCCCACAACAGCAAGTACCGAGGAAATGGGGTCCCCAGAGGTGCACTCAGCCCTTACCACTGACATCTAATGCTTTTGGAGATCAGCTTTCCTTAAGCTTAATGGAATTTGGTGTATTGAATCACATGGCACCGGAGATCTCAGAGCAAAACTCCAGTACCTTCCCCACTTACCCAGGAGCACGAATGGGGCATTTGGTGTGACTGATGGGCACAGGCATCTGTCTGCACTTTCTCCTTCCCCCATGAAAACCCTTCAGCAGGTCTCATCCACACAGAAAATGTGTGCATCTCACTTAGCCACAGGGTGAGACAAATCTTTATATACCACACCTACAGATGAAAACCAGGGCTCTCTGAAGAACAGCCACAGGACACATTGACAGCCAGGGACCTCCCCTTGGGCAAAGCACAGTTAGTACAGAGAATTAGGATGACGGACAGGGGTCAGGCACAGCACTTGCCCAAGAGTCAGCAGCAGCAGGAGGAATAGGATTACTACCTTAAAGAACAGGCCCACCTTTGAAGATGGGCCATGTTCATGTTTTTAAGGATACAAACATTAAAGCAAATGTTATATTAAGCACCGTTATGTCATAACTTTCTCAAGCTACAGGAAAATAGAAACCTAAATGTTGTCCTTTAATATAATACAATGTTGTCCTTTAATATAATACCATTAATTTTTCTGTGCTTAGCAACCCACTAAGCACCTCTGATGTTCACTACTGTAAATCACAGGAGCTTGCACGCTTTTGATACACAGATAGCTTTAATTGTGATTTCTCCGTAACCGTGTTAACGTAAAAATTCTTAGAAATCATCAGTGGATTACTATACTCAACATCTCTTACTTAGGAAGGTAGCTCAAGTTTTACAAAAATTAGCACGCTTATTATCAGAATATTCACCTTTATAAGTAACATCAGTTAAAACATTACACAGTAAGTTTAAAACAACTTACAATTTTGAAAAGGCTAAGAATTTAACACCTATGTACTGTCATTGACACCCACGGAGCTAAACTATCATTGCATAGGAAGCTAAATGTGGACAAATATTACTGAAATATTATCTTTGTATGCTCCCAAAACATTTTTTTTTAAAAGGGAAAAAATTGTAAAATTATTGTCTTCACTTTTTCAACAAACTCATGGGTTTGGCTTCTTTTTTTTTTTTTTTTTGTTACTGTTTCTATGTTACTACACAAATCAAGGGACCAAATCATAACTAATCAAATGTTTATATCTTTCTAGGTTTCTTCCCCCTATTGCCTAGCCCTTCTAAAAATATGTATATAACATATACACACACACGTAAAGCAAATAAAACTGGGTGTAGAATGCCTATTTAATATGGAAAAATCATCGGTTTCTTCCCCAGCATGATGTTTTTGGACACTATACTATCTTGCTTCTAGGGAGTCATGCTGAGATAACACTGCAAACCCCACCTCTGGCACTGCTCAACAGAAGTAGGATATCTCTGTCTCCTGGTTTCTTTTTAAGGCTCTGACTTTCTGTTACAATTTTAGTGTGACTGGCCAGATCTAGCAATGTAATCTAATCTAACAGCAAATATCCCTAGTAGCAGGGTGTTTTAGCTGAAGCTAGAATACAATACTCCATTCCAATCTTTCTTGAGTTGACAGGTGCCTTTTAACAGCCGGTCACACTTGAGATCCCACCTTCTTGCGACTTGTGTGTCTCTGCCTTCCGCCAACCTGCTGCCACAGCCTTGAGGGTGTCCTTCCACTATCACCTCTGTTTCCTTCTCAACTTTCTGCACAACTTCCATAGGGCTCACCCTCCACATGCTTTTCCCTCAGTAAGGTCACACACAAACTGAACAGCTGCCTCTGGTGTTGTGGAATCACAAACTGGTTCAATTCCAGTCTCCCACTTTCCAAACTAAAATTTCACATTATTTTTCTGATATATCCTCAGGAAAGGGGTCAGCAGCTTAAAACCAGCATCATAAACATTAAGCTTTAAACATCCTTGGACTTGATCCCACTTACCTTGAGGCCCCCGGATGGCACCAGCATCCTCCCTCTTTCCAGCACTCCTAATGTTGGGATGAGCCCCATTAGATGCTCACAGCACCTGCCCACCATTGACCTTGTTAGGTGGTGCTGCCTCTGCCATCAACACTGAGAAAGTAGCACTTTAAAGCACAATTCCTTTAAACTATTTTACTGTTTATATTTACTATGAAATGAATCACACCCTCATCTGCAGCAGTTGTGTTAACTTCACAGCTCAGGATTGTGAAGTCTGTGAACACCAGAGGATCTGCCAACAGGGCTGGCCCAGCCCAGTCAGGTAATTCGTTCGCTCACTTCCCCCCCTTTCTTGCCCTCCCCCTGCTCTCGGAGGGATGGAGAGGAGAATCAAAAGAATGCAACTTCCACGGGTTGAGATAAGAACAGTTTAGTAACTAAGGTATAACACAAATCACTACTGCTACCACCAATGATAATAATGATAAAGGAAATAACAAGGGAAGAGAATACAACACCTCACCACCCGCTGACCGATAACTCGCCCCCCAAGCCCGACCAAGCTCCGACCGATACCTCCTCCAACCCTGCAGTCTCCCAGCCCTTCCGGCTAACTCCCAGTTACATCCTGGGCATGACGTGCTGTGGTATGGAATACCTCTTTGGTCCGTTTGGGTCAGGTGTCCTGTCTCTGCTTCCTCCTGGCTTCCCCTCCTCCCTGGCAGAGCATGAGGCTCACAAAGTCCTTGGCCAAACCAAAACATCGCTATCAGCTCTGTTCCCGAGCTGAAAGTCAAAACACAGCACTGCACCAGCTACCAAGAAGGAGAAAAATGACTGCTACTGCTGAACCCAGGACAAGTCTTTAGTCTGATTCTAGGTACTGCTTTCCCTTAGGTACCTTGGGTTGGCATATATTGCTGTGAATTGCTCTTAACTCCATTCACAGTGTGATGAACCTGCATGTCTAATTCTCTTTCTTTGAAATTAAAAGTCACTGAGGCATTCTGACACTATTAGGTGCCTCACTTTTAAGAATCATAGAAGTTAATTTTGCCTAAAATGATTCTTTGCTTCTGCCACATACTGCAGGTAACATTGGTGTTGTCAACACATGAGAAGTCAGACACCAACCCAAAAACCTGATAAATGATTAACAGAGCACAATCACTAACCTGATGTTACATGATTTAACATTTCTAATTCAAGTTGAGGACCTCAGATAAAAATCTGAAAACATGAAAAACATGAAAGGTCCTAAAAAAATTCCAAAACCATGTTCAGGTGATAAACAGCATGCAGGTCTTACCATGCTAAGTGTAAGAACGAAATACTGACCAAAATAAGCACAACAGTACCTTTACATGTTTAGTAAAATAGTTTTGTATTAAAGAATGAGAAAGATTAAATTCCTCATGATGTGCTATCCTTTCAAGAAAGTGTCATCTAACATTCACAGACCCATCTCGTAAGTGCCTTCAAAGAGAATCAAACTTAATGCCCTATTTCTTAAAGTAATGATTTGCAGTAGGAAATTTTTTATATGATTACAATCTAGGAAAGTATTAACCTATTATGAAATATAATTTATCATTATGTTCATGTATATTTGTGTACATTAGTTTTAAAGTGACAGCCTTTTGAATTACTAGCATTGTCATTAAATTGGAAGCTATAAATTGTATATGTATTATATGTGTTGATGTGCAAAGCTATATATATTATATATATGAAATCTATGCCACGGAATCAGGCTATATATACTTAAACATATCCAACTTTTACATGTTTTACTAATTGCTTTTAAGTTCTATGAAAATTAAGGGAATTAAGTATGGAAAGCATATTAACGATGAGTACAGGCAAAGAAAGGCCAACAAACATAACACAGCAGTGAGTTCACAGCAGACAATGGAACTGAATTCCCCTTCAAGGAAATGTCTCGACTGCTTCCAACCCTGCTGAGCACTGTCACATCTACGCTGACACTGGGGTGCTCCTTACAGCATGAACTTGGGGTTAGATACCTTCTCTTTCCTCTTTCCTCTTCCCTCTTCCCTCTCATTTTTATTTTTTTAATAGTACTATGGGAGATTTTTCCGTAGTTCTAATTTTGTTCCAACGGTACCAATTGAAAGTCACTGAAACAAACTACTTGTGATGCTACCTCTGGCACAGAGCAATTGTTTCTTCATAGACTGGAAGGGGAAAATAGAAGTATTTAAAATGTTTGGGTTTTTTTTTCTTATTCCTGCATCTTTTTATTTGTAACTGTGCATCTTCTTATGATAGAGGAAGGGTTATTTTTAAAAGAAAAAGGCACTGGTTATTCTCTGGTTGTACAGATGTTGGCAAGCAGACAGAAAAAATATAGAACAGTAATAAGTGGAAATGAGAAGATTTACAAGTTGTGATTAGTTCTTCAAATTTCCATCTAGAGACCTCCAGCTTGTTTTCCCCGTACATACACCCGTGTCATCATGGATGTCTTTTTGGTTTGCAAAACATTGGTCCCTACACACTTTCAGACAGAGTATCAATAACAGGATAAACACAAGGGCATTGTACATCTGCTCAGCACTTACAAAAATAAAAATATTTACTTTGTTCTGTGTGTTTTGAAATGGCCACCTCCGGAGGTGTGACAGCGATCTGCCCTCCCCATCGCCAATCTGCTTCTAGCCTCCACTGCCACATCCACACTGCACTTCCCCAGAGCTGTGGTTCCTCACCTGTCAATATTAACAAGTTTCTACATGGCACAGCAGTACTCTAATCACAGAATCAGATCATAGAAACATAGGATGCTTTGGTTTGGAAGCAACCCTAAAGATCCTCTAGTTCCAACACCCCTGCCACAGGCAGGGCCATTTCCACTAGACCAAGTTGCTCAAAGCCCATCCAACCTGGACTTGAACACTTCCAGGGATGGGACAGCCACAACTTGTCTGGGTAACCTGTACCAGTGCCTCACCACCCTCACAGTAAAGAATTTCTTCCTAGTATCAAATCTAAGTCTACCCTCCTTCAGTTTTAAGCTATCCCTCCTTGTCCTATCACTACTTGCCCTTGTAGAAAGTCCTCTCCAGATTTCCTGTAGGCCCCCTTTAGGTCTGCTATAGGTCTCCCCGGAGCCTTCTCTTCTCCAAGCTGAACAAACCCAACTCTCTCAGCCTGTCTCCACAAGAGGGGTGCTCCAGCCCTCTAAGCATCTTGGTGGCCCTCCACTGGATTAACTTCAACAGTTCCATCCTTAGCTGGGGGCCTCAGGGCTGGATGCAGTACTCCAGGGGGGGTCTCATGAGAGTGGAGTAGAGGGGGAGAATCACTGCTTTTGATGCAGCCCAGGGTCATCTAACCATCTAATGCCTTAAACAAAATACTACACAAACCCACTAATTTTAAATGCATCACTTTTTCTTGAGTGTTTTGCATTATTATGATGCTGTAAACTGTCTTCCTACCAATGTCACAGCCATGTAATATTTGTGCCCTTTGTTACGTATTATCCTGGATAATTCATAATTGAACACTCACTGGGATTATCTGTTAGTGACTTGCTTTTGATGTAGTAGATTTCAGAAATGCTGTTCTCATTTTAAGGGATTTCCTAAACAGCTGGTAGATTTGGCTGATTCTCATACCTGCACAAAGCTTGCTCTATGCACACCCTGTGGGCATTTAAAGATCTTTGTACCTGAAGTTTCAACCTAAAAAGTATTACTGAGCAGTCTTTATGAACAGGAACAGCTACACAGTATGTCTCTACCTGTAGGAGGAGGTGCATGTGTAGCAGTTTCCAGTAGCAGGCAGATGCTTCCTGCTAAGGTGCAGGTTTGGTGTAAAAATCTTAGTTGCTGTAAACGCATATATAATCCCACAGGTAACACAACAAACCCCATTTATATATGTGCTCCTCAACCTAATTGCAAATAGAAAGTATTAGCAAACCACTCTTCATTAATTAGTGAGTGTTAAAACACAACCATAATAAACCTGAAGTGTAAAAATTCCTGGTATTATCCCCAGATACTGATGAAACTTCCTGCAGAAATTTTGCTAAGGACATATCTGCTCTTGCCTTTTATAGTTTACAGTCTAAAAGCTAATGAATAAATACAACTGAAAGGAAGGCAGCGAAGAAGGAAGAGTAAACAGGTATAACACACATATTATATTACACAGTAATTTGTGCTTCTGAAACGCCAATTAGTAACTCTTTCCATGATGCAGCTCACAGTCAGATCAGTATTAGGTTGATAACAGCAAAGAGTCATGATCTGGTAGAGAACGTTTTATTATTAAAGACTGTAATGAATATCGAAAGCCACAGAAATATTAGCTTAACACCTCTTTAAGTGCAAACTGTAGCTCTGACTGTTTTAAGAGCACAGTGTAAGGATTTATCTTCTGTGGTCCCCATAATTTCAGTACAAATGTTTGGTTTGAAAGAATTTATAATGGCAGACCCTAACCAGCCAAGAGAATAATTCTTTTCTATTTCTGGGGCTTGATTTTTTATTTTTGTTTTCCTCTTAACAGGGCAAACAGTGTTTCACAAGACTTTGTCCTCTGTCAGGGAAAAAAATAATAAAAAATTTAAAAAATCATTTGGCCATCAGTGCAACATGAAAGTGCACAACAAGAAAGTGATTCGTCTGGAAGAGGTAATTGACTTGCCATGTTGACAAAATGAGCCAAGAGTGTGAAGAATAAAACCAGGTTCATTGCCCTGGAGAAGCTCCTGGAGTCAAGGCTGTAATGATACAGAAATAAGGCAGGGGTTTAGCATTCCCAGCTAGACCCTAAAAGTTTTTGTTACAGATCTCAGAGTGAAATATTATTATTCATACTAGTGTCAGCAAGGTGGTGAGATCTGCAACCGTTTCAGAAGAGCTGTAAAAAGGCTTACAGGTAAAAGGCAGCTCTATTAGGAGACTTTGCATGTTATCCAAGGAGTTTGGTATCTTTGAGCATTTTTTCCTTGCCTTACATTAGATTTCCTCTGTCAACTTCTTTCTCCATAACCAAAACTACTCGGATGCAGTACACTCAGTCCTCAGTGCTCCTGGATGTAGAGTTGTACCCTTCCCTCAAGATAGGGAAGGGATGTCCTCAAGTCTGGGCACCAGCCCTCCTGCCATCCCAGGCTGGTTCGGAGCAGGAATTGTCACAGATAAAGTTTGCATGATTCAGTTTACCAGTGGCTTGTTCTACTTTTTGTTATGTGGATTTGACAGTTTATGCTACATTCCAGAGCAGTGAGTAGCCGATCCAATAAACACTGAGAAGTAACATTACATTGATTTAACACACAGGAGCTGAGATGCCATAGGCTCGTGTGCTGGAGAGAAACAAAAAGAGAGAAAAGCAGTTTTATAGATCTCATTCCAGTAGGTATGAAGTTTTCCTGTAACCTTTCTTCTTAAATCTTCATAATTGCTAGAACTAACACTGTTTCTTCGCAAGTTACGATTACTATGTAATTTATATTTGTCTGGTCACTAATGATGTATTTTTTAAGTAATTTCCAATACAAAGCCCTCATTACCATAGGGCACTTACTGCTTGCCTATGGTCACAAATCTTTCTCATGGCGTATCCATTTGCCTAGCATGGAAGTACTTGAAACTATTTATAAAGCACATTTTACACCTGACACATTGAATTAAGAGCAGGAAAATGAGAGAGTTTTCTAATGGCAGCAGTATTCCTATGTTGGTTGTAAAATGGACTTGTGTCTAGAAGGCTCTGATTCATGTTTTCTCTTTTTGAAGACTATTGACTTGTCTGGGTCTTTTCTTTTTCTTTTTTTTTTTCCTTTAATGGCATATTGATATTGGTTGTTGTTTTGGCTTAGA